AGTATCAAATAAGAGAAATGAACGTAGAGAGGGACAAATGAGGAAAACATGATTATTACTTTCTGTTTTTCATTTTTTTGTACTACCCATACGATACAAGCATACGTCTCTTTTAATGCATGTAAAAGGCTTACACACCAAAACAATAAAAACCAAACTTCTACTATTTAAACAATATAATTTTGACTTCTATTCTTCCACTTTCCACCCTTAGCCATATGTGGTTGTTTTCTTTATGTGGGCATTCACACCAATTTCACAATAGAACTCGTTACTTGAGTATTTATAGTTTCAACAACTACTAATGTTAGTGAGAAACAATTCAAGAATTAATTACAAAAAAAAAAAAATGCACAACTTTGTATTACTTGTAGGGCAAGTAACCCCATTATTTTTCTTAAAAAAGGCACAAGGTACGGAGAAATATCATCACAATAATTCCCAAGCTTATCTTTTCTCTTTATGCAGCTGCACCCATCTCTCTCTCTCCTTCAGTTAAATTTAGGCCACAACGCATTGTTAAACACACTCCTGACACTGAGCTAACGAATTGAATGCTTGTTTACTACAAAGCCGTTCACAATATTCATCAAGCAATCCAAGTAATCTATAAAACATGGTTTCAATTTCGATATTTTTTCAGCAATGATTGCATGAAACATTCACCATGAAGTATGAACTCTAATTTTACGTTTTTTTTTTCAAATTATAGATTCATCTTAAATTTATTGTTCTTATAATTGTGGTGAATTGAATATGCGTGAATAAGAGAAGCAAAAAAAAAGGGATTTTTCAAACCCTACACGCATAGGAGCCGCAGCCTGAAGTCGTGCTGCCTGAGCCACCAAGTCGTTCTTGCTCCAAAACTCTAAGGTCCAAAACAAAGCCGTTTTGCATCACCTTTCTTATGGACCTGGGCTGCCTGCAGTCGACCTGCAACCCAATTGGGCATATGCACCAAACCGTCCCACTTGTTTTTTTTTTTGGCTCGCATGAAATAACAAGCCCATGGGTTAGGCCTTGTTTTCCACTTTTCCTTCTTAGCCCAATAATTGGGTATATAATCTATTAACCCATTTACTTCTCCTTTGTTGCCCAGCAACCCAACAACCACTCTTTTGGGCCTTCAAGCCACGACAACCCCATATTTTGGGTCATCACTCATGCTTTTCACACATACGTCCCGAAACTATTCTCGTTCACTACATATGTATATTGTGTTTGTTTGCAGGTATCATGAACCTAGAGTTCATACTTAAACTCGAACTTGAAGCTTTGAAAATAAGTGCCATAGAATTTCAAAGTTTCATAAAACAATACACCCGTAAAAATCCAGAGTTCTTGTAGGTGATTTGTTAGGATTACATGTAGATAATGCTTTTAAAAACAATTGTAAAATTTAGTTTGTGCAAATTGCAGATTACTTTATTGTCCATAATTTTATTTTGTGATAGAAGACAAAAATGTTTTTTCACCCTTTTATAGTTAACAAAAAGAGTTTCATTAATATGTGGTTTAAATTAACTTCTTCCTTACAAATCTGTTATGTGCAAATAAACTAACTTGAAATAGGTCCAATTTTATGGAAAGAGATCCTCTTTGGATCCCTTCTACCAAATCCACCAAATCAATCAATACAGGCCCTTGAAATTTGATCCAACGGCTACAAACAGAGGGCCCTTTTAAAAGTTATAACTACTTTAGCCGTTGGACTAAATTTCAAGGTTCCGAATTAGGTGATTGGGTGAATTTGGTGGAAGAGATCCGGAAATGATCGCTTTCCCAATTTTATGGCCTAACAATTAGATTAGTCCAATTTTTAGTAATTTTTTTATTAAGGTCCATGAATAGGACTCCATGTGTCAGCTCCTTTTGTTGTTAGGTTGATACTTTGCATTGTGATTTCTATTTTACTCTACTATAGCTATTCAATGGAAAAAGAGAAAAAAAAAAAAGAAAAAAAAAAGAAAATGATACGATCGGTACTTTGATAGCGATTATTCTTGATAATAATCGCTATAAATACAGCGACTATAAGCCAAAAAAGTCGCTATCTTCATACCGATCCATTCCTTTTCATTTTTTTTTTCAAGTTTTTATTTGTTAATGTTTCTTTTATTTCTCTTACCATAACAACAAACTATCATATTCGTGTTTTTCAAAATATATTTTTTCCGTACAAAATATATTATAATTCGTTTTTAAACACTTGTAATCAATGATTTAAAACCTAAATTTAAAGATATTTTTCTATTTTCACACTTTAAGAATCAATAAAAAATAGTTTCAAGACCTAATAATCGGTAGGATCACATCCAAAGGTTTTGCAATATTTTCCTTAACTCTAGCGCAAAATATTTCTTAAAGCTAAAAATTTCAAACCTTTTTTTTTTTTTAACAAAAAGCTATGTGCTATAAGCCAAAGTTATAGTCATTCTATTCGCATCACATATTTCCTAAAATTAATTTAGGACATTCCAAAATTTCGGACACCTATAAACCTCTTGGGGGGCCTCGCTATTAGTTATATTATTTTTCTATTTTTTTTTCAACTCAGGTACTCTATTAGTCAGCATAAACCCAGATTTCAGCTGATCTTTTACAATCTAAACTACCTATCATATAAGTATTTTTACAGTCTAAACTACATGTCATATAAGTACTTGTACTTTTACAGTCTGAACTACTTGTAATATAAGTACTTGTACAAGCTAAACTACCTATCATGGTGGAATAAGTAATTTTACATGATTCTAACAGCAAGATGTAGTCCTCCATCTTGGTAATGTTAAAAGCCCTCGAAGCTAACCCGATCAATGTCAAAAGCCTCTTGAGCAATTACTTACATAAGACAATCAATGTATAATGCTTGCGAATCATGTAACAGATACCAACAAAAATGAAGTTTACTGTTGTAAACGACTCAATGAAAACATGTAAAATTACTTGTAGTTCTCATAGCTTCATGCAAATTCAAATTTGGATACTAATCTGAAGGAATCGTGAGGAAAATTCAAAACAGGAGTCGGATAGAGTTTTTGATGAAACGATGAGATTTGATGAGTAGCTTCTTTTTCTTTTTTTTTTTATTTAATTTTTTTTTATAAATACAACGATATATTTTACACTGAAAAAGATGAGAGTATTTTTTTATGAAATGATGAGATTTGATATGTAACTTAAAGTTCCATGTTAATTCTAAAAGAGTCATGATAAAACATTCAACGACAGTCGGTGCAATTTTGTTTTCAAATTACGGACACTTTAATTGCTTTACTTATTAGACCTACCTATGACTGTGCAATACATTAGACCCATATCAAAACATGAAGATCAAGATCCTTCTGACCAAGTCCATCGGGCCGTTGAAATTTTATCCAACGACTACAATTATTATAACTTATTTGGTTAATATCTTGAAAAAAGTATTATTTATGGTTGGGTCATGTTTTTGGTACGGATTTTCTTCTTCTTCTTAGATGAAAATCTCTTTATTATTATTTAAGTTTATTTTCATGATCATTAATTAGTTAAATCGAATGTCTTAAATGTAAATGCAAATGTCTTAAAAAGTCTTTTAATATAAATATTAAAGTTTTCACTTTAACAGCAACCAGCATCCGCTTTAGTCCCCTAAACAACATCATGAGCTTGACCAAAAAAAAAAAAAAAAAAAAGTTTTCAACTTTCTCTTTTACTATTTAGATTTTTCTTATTCAAAATAATAAATAACATTACTTATTTGGCAGCGATGGTGATGGTGGCTACGGCAGTGACACTTTTTAATATCTTGATAAAAATATATCTACCCTCCAGCCGCCACTACCACCATTATCAACAATTAAGTAATGTTATTTATTGCTTTAAATAAGGAAAATCCCCACCATCATCAACAAATAAGAAATGTTATTTCTTGCTTTAAATAAGGAAAATTCCAATAGTAAAAGATAATAAAGTTGAAAATTAATTCTTTTTTATTTTTAATTTTTTTGTCAAGCTAAAGACTTTGTTTAGGGGACTAAAGCTGATGCTGATGATGATTGCCATCAAAGTAAAGACTTTTTAAGAAATTTACATTTATATTTAAGAAATTTGGATTTACATTAACATATTCGTTTTCGTTAATAATCATGAAAATAAATTAGGTTTTCATCTAAGAACGAAGAAGAATATCCGTAACAAAAACATGACCTAACCATGGACGAACTTTTATCAAAATATTAAAAAGTGTATGTCAACCACAAAAGCGAAAGAAGTTTACCAGGATCTGGATAAACCCAAAAAGAGAGCAATCTTAATCAACATGCATAATCCCAAAAGGCCGTTAACCACGCACATACTTATTCTCCAACATGTGTTATTGGATGGCAAACCTAAATGTTATCCTGGAGACCGACAAAGCCTCCAGATATACATTACATATTTTAGTTGAACAGTAAGCGCCGCTAGTCCATAGTATATAGACGCTAGAGTTGGAATTTCTGATGCAGATGTTGGGGGGTTAAGGGTGTGGGAGAGTGAGTGTGTAGTTGGATTTGGTGTATTAGAAGCATCGTCGACGGTGAATTCGGGTGCTCTGCCTGAGGGGGTGATATCAGATGCGTATGAACTCAATAATATGTAGGAATAAGAGGAGCATCATAAAACACGAGTTGTGAGGTAATAACCGGTTGCGATAGGCTCCAGGTTTAGACTTTTCGGTTGGAGGCACAAATGCAATCCACGTATTTATTTTAGATCCAGTTATAGTATTAGGAAATCTTTGTTTTAGAATATATTTTTTTAATTATCTACGCTAATCTATATTCGGTGAAGGGGGAGAATTTAAACTCAGAACGCAATGAATTAAAAAGGAAGACCCTAATCATTAGAGCAATCCACCATTTGCATTTTAATATGCAATTTTGGCGGCAATTAGGGTTTTTCTTACATGTATCTACGCGAGTTTCCAAAGAACCAACTTGTTGCGAGTGTTTTTACTTAAGAATGCCAGAAGCAAGTGTGGAAAAGGCTAAATGAATTTGTATTGGCAGAGACACAGAATTCTGTTTAATTGACAGAGAGATCTATAAACAAAACCGTGTGTAGAATCCTAAACGACATTTCGTGAAAGGAGTATGCGGCGGAGTAAGCATTAACTATCTCAAAGAGTCTATGGCCTCCGCACCATATCAAGCAAATGCCTCTGCCGTCTTCAGCTTTTTACCCTGTTGGAAGGAACCATTAATTAGGCATGTAAAGTGATTGGTAATCGTTGTTTTAGATATGTTAGGGGGAATGGGATTGATCCGGGATGCCTTAGGTTTGAATGTTGCCTGAGAATAACAAGAAAGCCATTCGACAACTAACAGTTGAGAAAACAAAAACTTTATCAAATATATTGTGTGCATACGACTCACCTTCCCTGTTCTTCGGTTTTTCCTTCCGATGCTTCAGGCTCGGATAAGTTTAGTGTTGTCAGCTTGCCGAAAGATTCCTTTGCATCCCCAAAAAAATCCTTCACTTTGTCAAATGTGGTTTTTAGCTTGTCTTTTGTTGGGAGCTGAAAATTGGGTTTAGAATCACGACGATATCAGAGCAAAAGGTAATCAAACAATCTGATAGAACAGAAAATTTGTTTTCAATTGTAGGTCTAAATACCACCAAATTGCCTATAAGAAGAAACGAAGACCACCCCACGAAGCTTGTGACCGGCTGAATGTCTATATAACTTACAATCTCATGACAAAGATGATGGAGTAGGCAAATCATTACATAAAACACAAAAATTACCTCAATTACGTCCGAGGTTGAAAGTGCTGCTCTCATGTTACCATTTTCCTACACGGTTTCCACATAACAGACTTAGGCACTGAAGACCCTTAAGCCTTTTGATGGTGAGAAAAGAATAAAAGCATAACAAATGAACTTTTGCTTAGTTTAGAGGTTATAAGAGCATTACGACAATTTTGTAGCCATATCTAAAATCAGTAGCTGACCGCAATACTCGGTATTGCTTGAATGCTGTCTTCTGTATTTCCTTCTCATCCTGTTCCAATAAAGACGGAACAAGCAATTATACAATTGAGAATATGAAGCCGCTTGCAAAAAAAGTTTAATCATCACACAAAACGCATTTGGTTACTAAAAGAAAGGGCAGAACATCAAGCAATCATGCAAAATGAGAGAATAAAGCCGCTTGCAAAAAATGTTTAACGACCATACAAATCGCATTTGGTTACTAAAAGCAGAACAAGTCCCTAACCCGCGATTAATCAACAACGTTGGACTATATCTGCCACAAGGATTAATCAAAATGTCCCCAACCCGCGATTAATCAACATATCCCTACGCCGCGGTAAATGAACATGTCTGTGTCCATACAGATTCCAGACATGCATCCGAGCATCGATTCAATTGATGATAACATGCAAAACAAAAGGGAAATTGACTCTCTCTTGACATGAAGTAAAAATCAACTTGTTTAAAAAGTCAGAACAAGTATGGACAATGTATAATTGGATTGAGCAAACAACAAATTATATGCAATCCAATCACAAAATTCAACAACAAAGAACAAAACTCACTCTGTAAATAACTGCAGCAAGATTTCTAGCTAGCGTATCTTTGTATATATATTTCCCCTGAAAATTATCCTTTGCCGCAATCATGATTTTAGCCGTCGTCCCACCTGATATCACACTAAGTGGGTACCATAGGTAAACCTGGCCAAGCAACAAACTTGTAAATTAAACGAAACAGAGGAGAGAGAGAGAGAGAGAGAGAGAGCGAGCGCGCGCGCGCGAGAGAGAACGAACATTGGCCATTCGCATAAAGACGACGAAGCGAGGGTTGCCGTCGTCTTCAATCTTGGGCATGGCAGGAGGCGGAGGCTTCTTGGGTTGAAATTGGCGGGCCATCATTCCCCTTTTGCTCTTTGATTCAACCACCAGCGTCCGGCGGCCCTGCTTCTGCTCAGCTGCCTTCTGGATCGTCGTCTTTGTGGAGACCAATGAGTGCCTGACCAGACCATCTTCGTGGGTCCTCGAGCTCGAAAATGGAAACTGAACTCCGGCGTTTAGTGACAAACCCACCTCCATTTTTCACTTGGATTTTTGCTGAGTCCTGGATTTCTCAGTGCGCGAGCGAGAAAGGAAAGCCCGGCGGGGCCATCCGGAGAGTAACTCTTATCCACACGTCGTTTTTTGCCCAAGAGAGTGGAATTTTTTAGTGAGATCCAGAGGATGAGAGTAGTTTGGAGTGGGAACTGTCACTTGCCAGCCATACACGTGCCAGCTCACGATGAAGCTGCTGATGGCGATGTATTCTTGGCCGTCTATTTTACCACGATGGTCTATTGTATACATTTGTTTGTGGATATATTTCATGCAATTTCGTATCTTTAAGATTAATATTAATGGCATTTCATTTAATTTCTATATTAACAAAGGTTTAGTAATATTTATTTGACACTAAGTTAATAGAAAGTATTTTAATTAAAATTTTAAAACGATAGAATGAGCGAGGCACCTAAGTAATGTTTGGTACTGAGGTGCTTTTATAAAAAATGGTTATAAAAAAAAGCTGAGCTTAAAAATATGTTTAGTAAACACTTAAAAACAGCTTATTTTCACAGTTTTAGATGAAAAAAAGCTGAAAAACGTGAAGCAGCAAAAATGAGCTTATTCTCACAGCACAGTAGAAGTAGTTTGTTTTCAAAGTACAGCAATACCAAACCAGTCAGATCTCTTTTAAATATAAAGCTAACTTGTAATTAATATTTCAATGTGATTGTGTAAATTCTAAAAAACCAATGCTGAGGTATGAGCTGTGTCCGACAGGCCACTGTCTCAGCGCAAATAAGAGTTGTTGGACTAGTTTCATTTCATCTCAACTTCCTCCTCCTTTCTTGGATTCTTCTTTGGCAAAGGCTTCTTCCATTCCATGGCCTCTGCTGCCAAGTATCTCCGCGTATACGAGGATATGTGACCCTGGCAAGCTAGTCAAGCCACTAGTACACCTATTGCTGTCACCGTCAATGAAAAAACTAAGGAAAACTAACGAAAAGTTCAAATTTTTTTTAGTTTTAATGAAAAATGACAAATGAAGGTTTAGTGGATAGTATCAAGAAAATGTAAAAATGTGATTTTTCATTAAAAGTTGACAGTACCGGAAGTGTTTCGTTAAAACTCCCTAAAAACTATAGTAATGAGTACCAACATTGGATCCATAATTGGCATCATGTTCCTGCTTTAGCCTCTTATGATTTGTTGTTTTCTTGACCAACGGAATCACCCAGTTCGTAGAATCGTCCTCCAAAGTCGAAAGAGAAGGGTAGGGAAGGCATGACATGGATGACAGATTAAGATCAAGGCCAATTACCTCATTAGATGTATTCTCACCGCAAAACTCAGGTTGCACATAGAGATCAGATACCATCGTGTAACTTTCCAATGTATAAGAAACTTTACCGAGCGAGTCTCCTCGAGGGGATATATATAGAATGTGTGTTTATATATGTGATGTGTAGGTTGAAGCTTCCTTGTGTGGACTACGATTACTATGTTGCCAAGAATATAAAATGAGCCTACTAAAGTGAGTAAAAATCAATAAAGTAGTCTCACTGCAAGAGACTTGTAACTCAGTTGGTTAAAAGTATTGAGTCTTGCACCTGATGTCCTGAGGTTGATTCCTCACTCCCCCATTATCACTTGTACAAAAAAAAAAAAAAAAAAAATAGGCTTACTAATTCCAGCAGGCATAGGGCAATGTATGCATAGAACAATGATCAATGACCGTTGCACTTGCAATATTGCCTTCATTTTCAAGGATCTCCCCAAGATTTGGGAACTTTCTATCCTGTCAATGCCCATAGATTAGGAGGTTTGTCCATATGTGCCTGTAATCTTCCCCGGAGGCAGAATTCTCCACTGCTACTGGTGGTCATAAAACTTATTCCATTCGCCTCTAAGGCCTCTTCCTTCTACCAAGTCCACCAGATCCTCACCCGGTTTAAAATAACCATATGGCCTGGAATAGTAAACTCGGTGCAGGGTAAATTCTCTTAATCAATTAAGCTAACAGCCGACTGTGTAGATGGTGCTGTAATGGATGATTAGTTTATCCGTGGTCTAGAATGCATAGGAGGAAGATAAACATGTGTAGGATATACCATTGGAATGGAGACAATATAGGAACTAAATAGACAATGCTGCCAGCAACTCCCAAAGAACAAAACAAAATATGTTTGCACCGTGAAATGCACAGCTCAATAAGGATCAGACGTAAGGGAATATAATCGACATATGATTTGAAAAACAAAATGAATTTGAATGAATTGAATGCCTTGATTGAATTTATTGCATCTCAAACCTAAGCTAATGAAAAACTATGTTAAAAAATTGGAGCGACATAATTCTATGCACGAAAATGATCGTTTTTGTTGTTTCGAAGCTGTTCAAATGTTCATATGTGCTTCAATTTGAACAGCTTCAGAACGTATCACAAATTCACAGTCAATAAGAAAACTCATGGCCTCTGAGTGAGATATACTTCTTGACCCAAATAGTGATATCATCTGCACAAGCATTGGCCTGGGGCGTCTCGAGGAGCACATCGATCAAGAGTAGCAAACTCTTGCACAGAATCCTTGTAGTCTAAAAGAGGTGCATCCACATTTGCCTTCCTCAATTCCTCTGAGTAAGCAAACCCTCGATCGCACATCCAATCATGCTCTGCAACAACAGTAAGTGTCGGAGGCATGGTCTTTAAGGGTGGCCCTATACCTGCAGGCATAAGGGGGTTGCCCGCGGGATGGTCTAGATCAAACTCTTCCTCTGTTAGAAATAGCTTCCATGCTAGCATACACGTAGCCTTGTCGAATAAGTAGGAATTTCCTAGCTTAATCTCAGACCCGGTGGGAGTGCTTCCAATGAAGAACGGGTCCACAGGCTTCCCAGCTACATAGTCTGCAATGTTAGCTCCACAGCTCACCCCAGGACACATCTGTTCTGATGAGAAAAAGACATGTTGATGTTCATTAGTTAGTAGTTACTGAATTTAAAGAAAAAGAATACAAACTAAGAAGGGCTAAACATAATCAAAACACTAATCATTAAGCAAATTTATGTACTTTAAGTTTTGGGAATCCAACTAAGTTAGTTCAAAATCCAAATATACATAAAGAAAATATGCACAAATATAACATGTTGCAAATTTTAATAAAAAACATAAGCATAAAATTATCTAGATAATAAAAGACACTAAATCATAATCTATGTACATTGCATCGTTAGTTTAGTGTCATCAGTTCTAATTCTACATATTACTTTAGTCTAAAGAAGCTGGCAAAATTGCACTGTAGAAATAAACAGTGTTTTGGGCCGAATTTCACTTTATTTACGAGGTTACCACTGACTCTGTCTGCCGTTGATCATGATGCCTGCGTGTTGATGATCGTGGAAAGGCAGGGTGCGATCGTCACTTTACCATTCTCTTCCTCCCCTCTCTCTCTCACTCAGATCCCATCTGCTTACCTAAAATCCCCAGATCGAACATCCTCCATCTCAAATAAAAAAACCTTCCCCCTTCAAAACCCATAGAATCAGCACTCATGGAATGATCATGGATTTTTGTTGAGGTAATTTGATTGTTTCCTCATCTGTAATTTGTTTCTGTTAGTTTATTGTTCTTGAATTTTAATTTTTCTGTTTTCCAACTTGGAACAGTCGACCTTCTGATGATAAAATCGTGATGTGACCATCGTATTCTCTCTCACAGCTCACAACGATGAAATCGCACAGGGCTTCCTTGATTTCTGTCAACTCCGACCACGACCAGTTTCGTGTAAGCTATCAATTACCCCCTCTCGATCTTCTTTTTCTTCTTCCGCTTCTCCCTGCGGATTACAGTTTGACTGTATGTGTTCTGGATGCATCTTGATTTCCTTAGTATGATTAGACGATTCGGATACGCCTAATAAACAAACCTAATTTGCCTCGCGCGTTCAGTCATCTCCTTCCTTCGTCTAAAACCTCACACAGAGACAGAGATCCCCCAAAACCCTAAACGCCCAAAGGTAATTTTGTTTAATTTTTCAATTAGTTTTAATTATCTGACGAATCCCTAGCATAAATTCACTCTCTCTACCCTAAATGCGTTTAATTTTTTTTTTTTTTAATTTTTTGCAGTATTAATCACAAAGTTACGGAGCTGAAATTGAAAACGTTGTCATGGCTGCCTTAAAAAATGTAAGCTTGAAATTTTTTGTTTGTTTGTTTGGTTGAAATTTTTTTAATTTAGGTTCTGTTTGGTTGTTGAGAAAACTGAATCAAAGAGGTTTTTTTGTTTGTTTGTTTGTTTGTTTTGTTTTGTTAATTATCTCGGAGACGTGGTTGATTGTTGTGTTTCTGAAAATTTGAAAACAGAAGAAGAACGTGTGTGTGAAGTCGGTTTCGACAAAGAAGCAGGCTAATATGGACCATATCACAAGGGATAAAATCCCAAGGAGGTTTGTGTTTTCCAGATGCAAGTTGCCTGGTCCTTTGAAGCAGCTTCAAGCTGATTTGAGAAACTGGTGCTTCCCTACACTGCCTTTAAGCTTAAGGTATGCAAATATTCATTCCGGTCTTAATATATTTTGCAATGCTTTATGATATTTGATTTGTTTATATTTTAATTGATTTGAAGAGCTGATGAAAATGAGAAGTAAGAATCTGAAGTAAAGAGCTGAGCTTTTTCCACAATGTTTTTGCAGGAGAAGAGGCAGAACAATCTTAGAGACTTTTTGAATGTGGTTGGGCCTATAGGGGTTACACATTTCCTCATGTTGTCGAAAACTCCAACTGCGCCATACCTTAGGTTTGTGAGGACGCCTCAAGGCTCAACGCTATTTTCATAAGATATGCAGTGGGTTCCATTTCTAATGTCTTTGTGGGTTTTCAGGGGTGCAGATCCTGATTGACAAGGAATAACAGAAACAGATATAACAACAGTGAGACCAAATGGGAGATCCAATGAAAAAAAAACAGTAATGGATAAACCGAGGCCTATAGATTTCAACTGCCTCACAACCGCCGCCAGAGAGGTCAGATTGTCCAGAGCGCTGCCTTTTCCTCCGCCAACACCGCTGTGTCAGATGTTAAGCTGCGGCTCCAGGAGGACCACAGCAATGGCTTCAATCCCATCCTCCACTTTTGCTTCTGGTGAGTGTATTTTAAGTGCTTTTGCCAAAAATCTGCTTGTTTACTTGGTTTTTGTGGGTTTTATTAAAATTGTATGGTTGTTGTTGTAGCGTAAAAAAGTTTGCATCTTTGCATTGATATCTGGAGCAACAGACGGTATTTGGATTTGGGGTTGTATAGAAATTAAGTAATTGAAATTTATTAGATATGCAATGGAAAATTTCCAGTTATTAGATATCCAGTTTGATATTTGGCGGGTAAATTTCCATTCTTTGGATTAGGGTGCACAACAGTTGATAAGGGGATAAGTCATAAATGGAGTGATGAAATGTATTAACTTTTATGACTAATTTCCAAAGAAATTGCAATCTGCCAATGTAAAATGGTCAGTTATTTAATATCCGGTTTCATTTATAGTAGAAAAGGCAATGGATAAGAGAGATGATGGTTAAATTTGTATTTGTTATGTTAACTATTTGAAGTCTAGAATCTAAAGTTAATATATTTGTTATGTTAAATGTCATGTGAAATATTTATTGTTGAAATTTTCTTGGTGCTTTGTTTTATAAAAGATTCAAGATGGGGATAATTTAGCTGTCATTGATTGGCATAGTTTTTTAAGTTTTGCCTGTGCTTTTGTTTGTAGGATCGACTTGGGGAAAGAACGGAGGAGAGCACAAGCATTATGAATTTATTTGCTATAGTATTGTCCCTCTTCCTCTGGCCTCCTGAAGTGTTTCCATTCCAGTGTCACCATCTTTTGTTTCATTCATTTGTAGAATATATTCTTCTTTTTTCTATACCTTTATTACCTCCTTTTAACTGTGATTATCTGTACTTGATGAGTATTATTAGACCCATTCTCAAAATTTTGCATCCCCTGCTTCTTTCTTATGGTCCTTATACTCAAACATGTGCAAGTTTGTATTTTTCTGATGGATTGGACTATTGGGAACTCAGGTACTTTTACTTTTTATATATTTTTGTTGGGTTTTTTCTTTTTCGGAAAATGAGTATTTGATTAATCGCTTGACTTTCGCTTTCAAAAGGACTGTTAGAAGTTTTGTGTCAATTTGGTTGTGATGGTAAGATTACTTTATGTAACATTGTGTTGTGGCATGTGAGTGTCGAACTTTTTTCTTAATTTAATTTCGGAAAGAAATGCGTTTAACGGTAGTCCTATATGATGAAGTTAGCATCCTTATAAGTTGGGAACCTAAAACAGGAGTGGTGTACTCATAAATTCCTACTTTTCTCTGCCTCCTTCCCCTCTACTTGAATCAGTTGTGACTTATTTTCTTTTTTGATTTTATCTCAGGAGTTTGTCAGGGAGAAAGTTCACGAACGAAAGAAATCTAATTGAGAGGTATTTTCTTTTTGGCACATATCATGAATTATGTTTGGGTGTTTAAACAATATTTGCCTAAACGTATACTCTGTTTTTTAGTGGTATTTCAAATAAGGTAACTTCCCCAAACATTGATATTTTGGTATTCTATTGGTATGTGTGAAACCAGCTTGATTCAGGTTACAAGGTTGAGGGTTGCGGATAGTTGTCATATTGGGGATAGTTAATCATGTTCAATAACCTTATTTACAGGGCCATTCACTTAAATTTTGGTTTCCAGTTGTAGAAAGACGGCTTTTCATTCTTTCTCAAAATAAGCTTTCATTACAGCTTCAGTTTCACATCATTCGTCGCTGGATTTGCTAATACAAGTTTTTATTGAGATAATCTTACTGGTGAATTGTTAAAAGGTAGGAAGAGAGAAGGCGGCCTGCGATTTTATAAACTAAAGTTCAGATGCATTTTCTGTGGTATGGGGTGTCCGAGAGAAAAGGTTTCAGGGATTAGGTTTGGGTGGGATTTCAAAGGATTAGGTTTGGGGTTTTGTTTGTGTGATTTGTCGAGAGATGGGGGTGTCCGAGATAGGATTTAGGAGATTTGTTTTAGGAATTGCAGAGAGAGGTAGGGAGTGTCCAAGAGAAGTGTGGGAGGATTTAGGCGGGATTTTAGGGATTTGGTTTAGGGTTGTTTTCTTCGATTTGCAGAGACAGAGAGATGGGACAAGGGTGCGAGAGAGATGGGAGGATTTTATGCAAGGGTTAAAGGGAACGGGTAAGAGAGGTATGGGTATGGGTTTTTACGGCCGGTTTCTAGGGAGGTGGTCTGCTGTCAGTGCCCTCACAGGGTAGGGGTGTGATATGGGGGAGAGAGGAGAGGGGGTTGGTTGCAGAAAGAAGGTGACGATGGGTGCACGATTAGGGGGACAGAGAGAGTTGATTGGGTACAAGATTTGAGGGTAGGGTTGAGGGAATGAGTGTGTTGGCTGCAAAGAGATGGTGGGTTTGAGTTAGTATCTCCCTCTCTTTCGCTTCTCTCTTCCTCCATATATGACATCTTCGTTTTGGGGTCAAAATATGTTTGCTTTTACATAGAAATTTGAGTGTTTTATTTATTTATTTGGGTTTTTGTAGCTGATACGTATTATGTTTTGTGTTTCTGGGTTTTATCACGTTGCTGATGCATAAACCCATCAGTTCCTCTGTAATTCGTTTCGGTTTTCATTATTCTTTTTCGATTTTTTTTGTCAAAATTGAAATGGAATTTGTTGGCTTGATTTTGTATTAGGTTGCCATAGGGTTCTGTTTTTAGGGTTCTCTCCGTCCCACTCACTCTCGCTCTCCCTCTCTGTTTCTCTTCTTCAATCAGTCTGACGTAGTTTTGCAATTTAGGGTTCAGTGCATTTACTGGAATATACATACATATAAATGTTTAAATTTGTTCAATTTTTCTATACACAGGCTGGGTTAATTTGATTCTTGACCAATGATTGGATATTATATTACAATTGTGGGTTTTGTTTTTAGGGCTGGATGAAAAGAAACACCCGTCAGAGCTTTCAACAACTCGAAGGTCAGTGATTTCTTCCTTCTCTCTAATTCTGTTTCTTCTATTTCAATTTGTAGGATTTAATTTAGGGTTTTAAGTTGGAAAATTTAATTAAACATTTTCAGTTGGAGAGCTTGGTGTATTCAACAATTAGGGTTGTTAATTTTGATTGCTGGTCTACTAAATGTTTTATAACATGTAAACAGGGAGTACATACTTTGTATGCCATGGATACAGAATGGATACGTAATTAGATCAATTGATGGGTGCCGCTGTTTTGGATATCTACATCCAGCAATACCTGGTATTCTGTGTTTTGTTGTAATGGATTGGAATTTCTACTAGAATTATTATTATTATTATTATATATTTAGGGGTTGGGTAAATTGATTTTGGAGATTTTGTATGTGGTTTGGGTTCTTTGATTTTGTTTAGATAGATGGTGCTTAAGTTTTTTTAGTATGTTCCCTGCACATTGCAAAATTCTGGTATTATTTGGGTGTTTTGGTGTTGAAAGCCTAGGGTTTACAGTTTAGCGTTTAGCATTTAGGGGAATGCAAAGAAGGCATGTCTGCGTTTCTGAACTCTTATGCAAATCTAATTTGAAATCATGAAACACATTTCTTATGTTTCTCAAATCTCAGCAACAGGTTTTAGAATCCTGAAATCTAAGTAAAGTTACATCATTCCTGTTTTCGTATTTTTTTTAATTCCTATCATCCTGGCCACGATTAAACATGAATTTGCATGCCAACCTTGCATACTCAGTGATTAATTTCTGGATGAATTTTTCTTTAGACGAGGGTTTGCAGATATGAATACTTGAGGGGCAGATGGTCACCATGTTGGATCCATTGATACTGATACAACTTGGGATTTAGTTGGTTATATTCAAATCAGAAATAAAATTGTTGTGTATATTCTGCATTTGATTGAAAATCTGTAATTTTATGAATCATTTATTCGGATTTAATTTCAGTTAAATAGAAATTCTTCTTCTTTGATATCACTGTGCGCAACACATAATTTCAATTAGTTTTTTTTTTTTTTTTTTTTTGCGCGGTAAGGTTCCGTATAATTAACCTCTACAATTTTATTCACATGTTCATGATCACCACTTAATTAATTAGTGGTTGGGTGTTGACCACTGAATGTTTTTTTTTCTCAGTTCGAAGCTTGAATCTCACCGAGCTTCAGGTATTTTGCTTTAATTTTTTTCTTCTCTTTTGTCTTCTTTTCTGTTTGATTTCTTTCCTTCGTTTTATCCTAAATTCTGAGTTTTCATTTTGTTTAAAGTAGTTTTCTCCTGGTCTATTGAAATTTTTAATTTTTTATAGTTATTTCCTGTTCTCCACTATCATTTTTTTTGGTGTGCTAATTAATCAATTTTATTTGTAACATTGTGCATTTCATATGATATTTCTGAAATATTTTGAGATTTTACTACAAGTGTAAATGGTAAATATGAAGTTGCTATTGTTACTTTTTGTATCTTTTGCACATTGTTTTTTTTTGTTTATTGTCATATATGTGAATAAGAAAGATGATAAGAAATGTGTTGTTGGTTGGGAAGTAGGAGGAAAAGAAGCAAATCAAAAAGGTTATATGGAGACTTGCTGATAATAATTTTGGAATGTTAGCAGACTCAAGATTGCAAGTTGGCAACCGATGGTGCTAAATGATTTGTTAGATTATTCAATAGTAATTTTTTATTTTTCCTTATTAGTTACTGTTTCAAAGGGTGAAAAAGAGTGGGGGACACGGGAAGAGGGGAGAAAGAGGACAAAAGAATGGTTTGTTCTACTTTCAATGCTTTGGGTTAAAAAAAGAAAAAAGGTTCACTTCACTCACTTTGATTGAACTTTTCGTTTCTTAAGTTTCTCTTGCTATATATATAGTGTATATTTCTTATTTATGTGTTTTTGATTCTGAGATTGTCTCTTTTGCAGAGCATGTGGTGTGGAAACACACCAGCTAAGCCTCACTTTTGATGTCGAACTCGAGTGTGGCTCTAATCTAGCCCCCGAAATTCCAACATAGCATGTAGCAATGCATTATGTTTTCCTGTGTGATCTTCATACAAAGGTACGAAGAACTAACTATGTTTAGTTTAATGGCTTTTTGGATGCTTAAAAATAAATTTTAGCCAAGTCCCCACATGAGGTTGATGTTATAAATTTTCGGACTCCATTCTTAGAAAATTTTGGCATTTTCATCAAATGAGGTTCTTTCTGTTTTGGACTGTGGGTTAGAAGTATTAAGACACTGACGCTTGAGTGTTTGAAAATTAGGTGCAAGACATATGAGCTTCTAATCAAGAAAGACCTGCTTTTAAATCCCACTGTGTGTTCTAAGTGCTGGATGGGTTGTGCTTTTACCAACCCTAATAAAATTATATTTGAATCATGTTGTCTGATAACTCTTTTTCTTTTTTTCCTCTTTGTGGTTTTTAGTCTTTGTCATTTAATTGGTGTAGCTTTGCTAGGATCTCTGTTCCGGCACAGTGTGATTAGTGCTAATGGAATTTCAGCACTGTTTCTGAGCTATTGGTCGAATTGTTGTATCTAAGTATGCATTATACATTCAATTGAGCCAATGAAGCATGTGTGCCAACGAATTTTGAAGAGTTTGGCTTGGTTTTCTCTCTTTGGTCTTTAATATTTAAGTGTGAGGCCCTGTTTGTTGACTAATTGAGTCCCTTCTCTTAAGTTTTTTAGTAGATATTGTGTAATTTGCTTTTATGAGCACTTCTTTAAGCTGTCAAGTTCTTAAAATGTACAAGGAGATATCAAGTTTAACAAGTCACGAACTATGATCAATCCAAATGCAGTGAAATTAGGGATTTTACACTTAAAAACTCAGTTAGCTTTAGACCATAGGATTAGCACTTTCCGCATGTGAGTATCATTGACCAGCTCATTTTATTTTTCTGGATAAGAAACAACTTGTCATTGAAGGGAGAAGAAAGTGTACAAAAACAAAGTTTCTGTAAGCTTGCACTCATATGCCTAATATTTTAATTTCTTTTCTTGACATTACCTGTTGAAATGGCTGCCTACACTGCAGGACACATATTATGTGTGAACGTGTTTCTAAGAAACAGAACTTTTTTGGAAACTATATCTTTCGAATCAAAGACGTTCAGTTTCTTTCCATTCATTGTACAATGTGTTTATATGCCAGCTTACTTGAATGTATATAAAAGCAAAACTGTTCGTCTTATCGACTTCATTCACTCATGTATCATTCTGTTTGTTCATAATTGTGTTGAATTTATTCAACTTAAATATGTTTTATTCATCCAATTATGCCTGAAACAGCTGGTTCCCGCAGCAACGCGCGGGCGTAATTTCTAGTACGATCTAAATACCTCAAGACCTGAATTGAGTTAAATGAACCGCTTAAACTCTTGTGTTCCTCTGTGATTGTTCTAATTTTGACCACCGACTTTATACTAAAAAATAAAACTGAACCTACGTATACTAAACAATAATAATGACCTCTTTATATATTTCAATTAAAATTTTGTACAGGGTCTAATTGTGCACGTATGATATACCAACACTAATATAATACTAATTAAACAACTTCAGATATGGGCAATAAGTATTCGTAGATGGATCTCCATGAGCAGCCAACCACATGGCTCAACCGTCGACGACCCAAAGCTGTCAAATGTACGACTCCGTCCGTTTCGAACAGAGGCCAAGTTAGCCTGCTTCGCCACCCACTTCAACACCATAACCCCGTCCTCGAACGCCGCCAGGTACGGACTCTCGGGCGCCAGCCTATAACCCACAGCCACAACGATCGCGTCGCACAGCTTCACCGTCCTCCTGCAGAACGCGTCGTTCCACGACGTGTTGTTGCTCCCGCGCTGACAAGCCCACCTCCGTGAAACTGTAAGAATATCGAAACCTTCCAGTGTCGCCTCTCCACTAACTGATCGGGAGAAAATCCCCTGTACATGACGCCATTGACGGAGTTAGAGCTTTCAGGGAAGGGAGACACCAGGGCGGCGCCACTGGGAGTGGAATTCGGAGCTTTGAGGAGGGGGAGGACGGTGTCGGGTAAGAAGATGTGGAGGGAGAGGGAGGAGTTGGGGTCGATGTGGATGTCCTTGGTGGCGACGTCGTTTTGGAAAGTCGGGTTGGCGGGAACGGCGGGCTCTTCGGACCGTGAAGTAATGCCAAATTTTGGGTCGGTGTTTTGGAGGTGCGGTTAGGTTGCGTAATTGTTGTCTGAGATGGTACTTGAAGAACAAGCTGTGTAGCTTCAAACTTAGGTTTGGCAATTTTTTTTATTTACGGAGAAATTAAATTCGTAAGAGAAAATTAAAAGACAGAAGTCTCCCGGTTTTGGTATTAAGATCTTCAATTTTAGTTACCAAAAAGAAGAAATCTTCCATTTCTTTTCAGAGAGACGTGTTGAAATCGGGCGGTCAGAGCAGAAACTTCGAGCTTCAAATTGAGCGCCATGCATGCAAGTTCGGATGACGTCCTTTTTTGTATGTTGTAGTCTTGGAATTGAAGGTCCAATTTGTAGAAACGAGGTGCCGTTAGAATATGTTTGTCAAAAAAGTATAGATTAGATTTGTAACAACATTTCTAAAGTAAGATGTCAAATTCGTCTTTGGTAAGAATCGAACCTAATACCTCTTACTTACAAGTGAAGAAGAATACAACTAGACCGCAGTAACCAAACAAAATTAACCCAAAACTCCATAAGGTCCAGGAATGCTCCAGAACGTGCGACTGCAGTGTTATTCCTTTTCGTGGCTTCGATGACATTGATCTTGGTCCCTGAGTTTCTCCTTCTTCAAGCTCATTGCCATCCCCCTTTAACGACATTGAATCTTGATCGCACAAAATATAAAGGTGGATCACCGCCGACAACCTAACCATGGTGACAGCTCTGCAGAAGAATGCAGAAGGACTGAGGGGTTTAGCAAGTGAAAGTGGGGATTGGACATCGGCCTCATTTGCTTCTTCTAGTCTCCGTTAATACCAAGCGAAAGCTTGGGATTAGGCAGAGAGCTTTTAGCGAATGGCTCAAGGACTCGTAGTTGAGGGGAGTCCATATTATTTTAGTCCAACAACATACCAAACGTAGGATTATAGTCATCTTAAGCCATTCCAAGCCAATTCCTCCTAAAGACGTGTAACAAACGTACCCTAAGAGTTTTTTTGGTCTTCGACTCTCGAATGATAATTGCTTAAATTGGACCACCCAAGCATTGGTTAGAAACTTTACAAAAGTCCATGGGCCCCAAACTGTAAACAGAAGAAGAAAGAGCTATCTTGCAGAGGAAAGAAGTATAGTTGTAGAGAGAGAAAGTATTTTGTGTATTGTATTGAGAATCATATCATATTACACATATACAAAATGTGTATATATATATATCTAGTTACATTGTTTAACTACTAAGCTAATACAAAGCTCACAAGATGTTGACACTTGTCACAATCTTAGTTCATAGAATCATAACCAACTTAACCACCTTACACACACTATATCTAACATCTTCCCTCAAGCTCAAAATGAGGCTTGCCAAGTCTGAGATTGTAGCAGTGTGTTAGAAACAAAGGAGTAGATCATCCTTTTGTAAGAATATCATCAAATTGTTCATTGAAGGAAATAAAATGCACTTGCAGAAGCTTCATTGCAACTTTCTCTCGGACAAAATGTACATCAACCTCAATATGTTTTGTCCGCTGATGCATTTCTGGATTGTAAGCAAGGGCTATGGCAGAAAGATTATCACAAAACAGTGTGGTTGGATAATGAACATCTATTTGCAGAAACTGAAGAAGTTGTTTGATCCCATCAATTTCTGCAGAAGTACTTGAAAGGGCTCGATATTTAGCCTCTGTAGATGATCTAGAGACTGTACTTTGTTTCTTGGAAGACCAAGAAATAGGATTTGGCCATAAATACACAACTAAACCAGTTGTAAACCTCCTATCATTAGGATATCCATCCCAGTTAGCATCATTAAATGCATGAAGATCCAATTCACCTTTGCTAAACTGAATGCCAAACTCAGTAGTTCCTTTCAAATACCTGAGAATCCTCTTCACAACAACATAATGAAATTCTATAGGACAATGCATAAACTGACAAACCTGATGAACTAAGAAAGATAAATCAGGATTAGTAAAGGTCAGGTATTGAAGAGCATCCACAATACTTCTATAGAGAGGGATTATTGAAAGGATGTCCATTATCTTTAAGTAACTTGTTATAAGGTAAGCAACTGGCGGAGCACAGTTTGGAATGAACCATGTCTGCCTTAACCAACAAATCTGTAACATATTTAGATTGGGAGAGAAACATTCTACTGGAATTTTGTGTGATTTGAATCCCAAGAAAATAATGAAGGGAACCTAAATCTTTTATATCAAATTCTTTGGTCAAAGCACCAATCACTGCAGTAATGGACTCTGAATATTCCCTATAATGATAATGTCATCCTCATAAAGAAGGAGGATAACCACATACTTTCCAATATGCTTGACAAACAGTAAGGGATCAGAATATGTTGAAAGAAACCCCAGAAAAGGAAGAAATGATGTAAATTTGTCATTCCATACCCTCGGGGCTTGTTTTAAACCATACAAGGACTTATGTAATCTACAAACATGTGTAGGATTGTGAGGATCACTAAATTCAGGTGGCTGTGATATATATAATTTCTTCTAAAGAATGCCATATAGAAAGGCATTCTTCACATCAAGTTGATGCACTGACTATCCAAAATTAGCTACTAAAGCTAGGACCAACCTCACAGTTGTATGTTTAACAACTGGGCTAAAGGTTTCTCTATAATCAATACTCTCTTCTTGATTAAACCTTTTAGCAACAAGCCGTGCTTTATACCTGGAAATAGATTTATTAGCAGGCTTCTTAATCTTAAATACCTACTTACACCCTTCCAAGTTCTTGTTGCGAGGCAATGGAACTAGAGATCAAGTGTGTTGAGTTTTCAGAGCATTCAATTCTTTTTCTATAGCAGAGAACCATAAAGGATACTTAAGAGCAAACTTGTAAGTAGCGGGTTCAACTTGTTAAAGATCCACTGGTTCACCCTCTTAAACCATTGAAAGAAAGGCTTTCTTTTTCGAAATACCACTCTTAGCTTTTGTTTGCATAGAGTGAGTGTTCATAAAAGGAATAGGGAGAATAACCTACAAGCTATCAGGTTGAAACTCATTCTGCAGTTCAACATCAGTGGCACTAGGACTGTCAGAAGTGGACTCATTAGAGGTCTCAGAACATGACCCACTTGGAATCTCAGGAGCCACAGGGAATGTAGAAGAGGATTGTTGATCTGTTGATGCAGTAATGGATTGTAATGAACTGGGAGTACCACTTTGTTGATCAAAATTGGATGACATGGTATCAGG